GTTAAATCATAAAATAATTTTAAATTTCAATAACTAAATGTACTTTTTTAAAATCTACTTAAGTTTTAATTTATAATTGATTTAGGATCCTATTAGTATTGTTTTAATGTATTTTCTATTCATTTAGTTGTGGACAGAAAATGGTAAGCTAATAAATTAAAATTTTTTAAAATAAATTTTTCTATTTTATTCTTATGATTAAATAGTACTATTGACGATTTTTTTATAATAATTTATTTTTTAAATATAAATTCATATATTTCATTAATTTTACGTATAATTATAACATAAATTACGCAACAAAATATACGAGATTAATTCACAATTTCGTAAAAATAGATGATAAAAAGTAATTAATCTTATAACTAATTATTAATATTTTGTTATAAATATCAACTAAACAAACTACTAGGTTAATAATTTTATTTTTCTTTATATTTTAAAGTTTTAATTATTTAAATAAATAAATAATCACTTTATAATTATTAATTTATTACATTTTTTACTATATAAATATAATTTACATAGTGCAATAAGATTAGTTAATGAAATATAATTATTGTAAACTTTAAAGCTAAATATTATTATTTGATATTTTAAGTGTATTGTGTTTGATATTTGGAAGTTTAATATAAATGAGTATGTCATTCCAATTTGTATAGATTTAACAAGTGACTATATATATATATATATCTAAATGGCATTTTGATGGGAAAATTTTAATATACACATATCTAATTTAAACCTAACATTATACCATAATTGCCCAACAATATACATACATACATACATATATATATATATATCAAAATTTAATCATCACAATTTAATAAATCTTGAGTTACTCCTTTTTTTTTTTGTTTGGTTTGACAATCAGTTTTTCTCCATCCCAGAATGGAACTGTGTTGATTGCGACTGAAGAAATTTGGAGGTTTCTGAGAAATGTTAGAGGTGGACCAGGCTGTAGATTTGGATGGTGGGCGAATATATAGTAATTAATTTATTTTGAATTTGATTACATCTCTAATTCTACACATGCCTAACAATATTCTATAGGTGTACCAATTTAACAATTTTCGAATAATAATATTCATTTATTATTATTTTGATTTATAAAGAATTTGCAATATCATGTGACTCAAAAGTATAGTTTAATAATTCACCAAGTTATCTGTATTTGCTCAATCTTATGTTGCATTCTATTATTTGTTTTTTTATTTTTGTTGTGGACATTGATTTTGGGTATAATTTATTTGACAAATAATGAGATTTGAATTAAGATGAAAATTTATATTCGGTTCAAAGTTTAATTATGTAAAATATAAATGAAATTGTGATTAAAAAATTAAAAAATAGTTTTATGATTTTAAAAATTTAATATCTAATTTAAATAAATATTTTTGTAATTTTATAATTGACTGTTAAACGTATAAATTTAAATATTTCATGTGGTTGATTCAATTGAATATTAAATATATAAAATTTAATTATTATTTTTTTATAACAAGCATTTAAAATTTATAAGGTAAAATAAGAATTAGAGAACCATCATCCAGACACAAGTGAATGTATTTATTTGAATTATTTTAATACAATTATATGTTATATAAGCAAGAGGAAATTATGT